TTATATGAAATATCAATATATGAGACGTCATAATATTTTTACGTGTAAGAATCGAATTAAATCAGTATAAAAAATATATTAATAATGAGAGTGTGATTATATTTTGTTTAATGAACTGTATTATAAAGTGACAATAATCTCTTATTGTCCTAGGATACTAAATTGCAACGCGACTTCGTTTTGTGTCCTTCGAAAGTAAAAAATGTAGTACTTAATACTTACTTAATATTAGATACGTATGACCATTAGATACTATTTAATCGTTACTTCCAATTCATGCTAAAATATTTTTGTAAACTTATCTATTACTAGCTACTCTCGCGCGGTTTCACCCGCTGCTCGGCTCCATTTAATCGTAGCGTAATGTTTTATAGCCTATATCACTCAGGACCATTCTAGCTATCTATCAGTGAAAGAATTTTGGAAATCCGACCAGCGGTTCCAAAGATTACCCCCTACATACAAACTTACAAACATACAAACTTACAAAATTTACCTCTTTATAATATTAGTATAGATTTAAGCACCATTGGTGCTTATACCTAGTAGTTACACAGTAGATTATTTTTCTTGTTTTTTAAACGCGTTAACAAACATACAATTTCACATACACATGACACCCAGACCCGGAATTACAATTTGTGGATCACACAAAGAGTTGTCCCGTTCAGGAATCGAACCAGCGACACGTTGCACTGTAGCCAATTGCCCAGCGACCGCACCAACCGTGCAGTCAGAGATGAGAGATTGCATGCATTGTATTTTCCCAAACCTTGAATGGTAACCTACTTTGTAAATAAGAATCAAAGTTCGTAAATTACAATAATATAATAATATATTGAGGTAGGTTGTCCTTGTGGCTTGAATAAAACGGTCTTTAAGTTGGTTGCATAAGTGTCGCTATGGGATGAGCTGCGTATTAAGATTATTAGAAAGAGGTGACCGTCTTTTATAACTGAAAGGGAGATTGGGAGTTACATTATGGGTTTACCAGATATCCCGAGAATGAGAGATTTATTTTTAATTAATGTTTTTTTTTTAGTAAAAGCAACTGACATACCTACATCCATTTTCTCAAAAATAATGTAGATCGTCTCTGAAGGGGTAGGTCATAGTATATTAGGAGGTGAGCCTATTACCACAAACCGGGCACAATACCATCCATGATATTACTGAGATATTTCTGAGAAATCCGGAAAATTTCAATTTCGTCTTTTCGACCCCGGAATCGAACCCCCAGGGACGACCACTTACTCAGCAGTTAAACTAGCGACCACTTGACCAACGAGGCAGACTGTAATTTTTTTTGGTAAGTACCTATAAAACGTAATAAAAGCTTATAATATGTAGATACTATTACAAACATTACTATCTTCGATCGATACGGCTTTCTGCGCAGGAGCACTTCTAACATCCAGTTCTAGAAGCTTGTTCATCCATGCCGTATCGGTTACGAAGTATAAATGCGTTTATAATTCAATATTTTATTAGATACATAAGTATATAATTATGTGCGATAGCTATAAATCTTACAAAGTTTTATATGATACTTACTACTAATTATATTATAAATTCAAATTTAATGAGCATTTAACATGTTATATCACTTTTGTAAGTAGGAAAAGTAATTATGCAAGTAATATTATGTAGGTATATATGTAATTGTTTTATTTAGGGCTGATTTTTCAATGGTTAGATAAAAATTATCTGGGGAATAATTATGATGCTGACGCGTCAAAATGTTTGTATAAGACAGTGACATTAACAATTTTATTCCTCAGGTAACATTTATGTGCTTATTAAAAAATCAGCAATTATTCAACTAAAATTAGAAACCCCGAAAGTTTGTGTCCATGGAGGTTTATTTCTCTTTCACGTAAAAGGCACTTAATGGATTTTGATTAAAATAGGCATAGAGATAGATAATAGTCTGGAATAAAACATACTAGGCTAGGCTAGGCAAGGCTGCTTTTAATTTAATCCGGGCAAAGCGGGTAAATCGCTTCACCCGGATCAAGAGTAGCTTTAGCTACCTAGTTGTTTAGCGCGCGGCTTTTTCCATGGTGGAAGATCCAGCATTCTTTTCTGACGGTCCTAATCTTGATAAGCTATTAATAGTAACTTAATGAAAATATAAAAAGTTGTACCAGTAGTTTTGTTTTTCAAGAAATTCTCTCTTTTCCTTTGACAATTAAAAAAATTATGAGGCAGCATTTACAAACATGTGACATAGGTATTGAGAAGTAAGTAAGGTCATGGTTCAATTTTTTTAGGATAGGTCGGCAAACCGAAGTGTCGTAAGCAATTGGCGCGCTGCTCAAGGAAACATTGCCGGCTTCTTATGGGTTGTTAGGGATTAGAGGATCGGGGATAAGCGGGGAATGATTGGGACTCCAGTTATTTGACCTAAGTCTTGTTTTTCGTAGATATTATGGGAGGCCGTGGTATCCCTATATCACTCCTGTCAAGCCAGCCCATTTTGACTTAGCATCTTGATAGATATTTTTTTTACGTAATAGGTCCGCAAACGAGCTGTCGGATTACCTGATGGTAAGCAATCAGCGCCACCCATAGACACCCGCAACAACAGAGGAGTTAAAAGTTCGTTGCTAACCTTTTGGGGATTAACGATTTAGTGATTTAGGGATTGAGACGGGAAATATTGGGCCTCCAGTAACTTCACTCACAAGGCGAAACTTAACGCTATGCTTGCTTCACGCCGGCTTTTCTGAACGACCGTGGTATCACTGTCGGCTCAACAGCCGACCCATTAAAATATGCTATTATGATTACGTTTTTTCCCTATTTACGAAAGGACAAAAGTTATCAATAATAAAAACTAATTCATCTGCTACGTATCCAGTTTGATAATAGGTACATTGTTAAACCACATCACAATACTGCCTTCCACAACTCTCAACAGGTTTTGAAGAATTTTTCGACTTGCCAAATTAGGCCCTTTGGTTCGTAAACGGGTCCCAAATACCGGACATGAATTCCACGACTCGTAAATAACATTCTTTCAATGGGCAGTAAACATAATAATAAAATGATGATTAACTTTGTTTTCTTTCAATTCGTAAGATTGTATTTTTTTAATAACGTAATTTATTTTCGTTTATCTATTTAAAGTAACATAGTAGTAGTAGATTTTTTTTTGTGAATATAATATATACTTATATATTCCGTTGATTATTATATTATTTCGTAAATATCTAGAACAGTTTTATGTGGTTAGTTTAGTCTACCTTTAAAGAAGTAGACTGCAGAATTTGTATCCTTCTGTGTTCTCCATGTGACGTGGACATTTTAGTTGTTATGTAGTGTTAGGTTGCTCTCCAGGTTGGTGAAGTGACGATATTCACAAAAAGAAGGCTGAATTTGAAAAGTTGAAAAAACAGTCACTGGCTGGAATGCTTTTTAGTGCGACATTTAGTTCTTCTGAAAGAAGACTAATTGTACTAGCGGATAACACCGAACTTATGCTAATAAAAAATAACTTAATTGAATATCAGTCCAATATCTTTTGCCAATAAAATCTAATGGACACGGTAGTTTTGAGATCTCAAGTTATTTAAAGTACATACCTACAAGTTTTCCGATTCTAATACAATGTGAAATTGTATCATTTCGGCTATCCATGTTTACGTGAGTTCAGCTGCGCGTAAATAAAAAACAAGTTACATTACATACGTAGGTACTACATTAGCGTTAGTTTGTGGTTCATTATGAGTAATTGTAGTTGATTACTTGTTTTATATTTATTATATCTAGGTATAAGCATAATGGGTCCATAATATTATAGGTATGTGATACTGTACGAATCTTAGGGTTAATAGAAATTACATTAACCAAAGACAAAAAAGGTTGCAAATAAATATCTTGTGTTTGGAAATCATAGAAAGATATCATTATTATAGAAACTAAGGGCATCGCATCATATACCTATGAGGATGATAAAGTTCATAAAACAAACACGTTTTTGGTTTTGGCGCTGAAATTAAACAACTGATCAATATGAATAAAATGACATTAAACTACTCTATAAAAATTAAAAAATAACCATTCACTTATAAAAAAAAATGTTAAGCGGTTTAGCTTGACACACGATCAGAGACGCCATGTTGGGAAAAGAACGGTGGTCTTGTGTGTGTCCTTGACTTTATCTACTGTTTCGTATGCGATGACAGTGACCTTCACGTAATATTCATAATACAAACATGATACAGCATGTTTTCTTCACATTCATTTGTTTATTTTCATTATAATACATTAGCTACTGCCGTATGGTTTTGCCCATTGACTTCTATTGGTCATAGGGTGATGTTTCATAGCCTATAGCACTCAGGAACATTGTAGCTATCTATCAGTAATACTAGTTTTTGGAAAATCGACCTGCCGTTCCAAAGATTTCCCTCTACATACAAACTTCCATATCTCTTTATAATATAAGTATACATTTTTCACATAAAACAATCTCTGAACTAGTCAGTGACTTGTGAAGAGGCTGTGAACTCTAAAAATGAAAACCACAAACGACTAGTTTTTTTGTTTTGCGATGTTTAAATTTTACTTTCTGTTTTTATGCTGATATTTTTCTAACGTACTAAAATAGTAGTAATAACTTTTTTGTGGTTGATATGTTATTATGACAATTTTAATTCTATTTTACCAAATTTATTCAACAACTTTACTCTCACCGAAGATTTTTTTTGATAAAAATGTTTGGCAATCATGGTGCATTCACAACTGTGTCGTACCTACCACGTCGAAAAAATAATTATATATTAAAAAAGTCATAAATCAATAAGTAAAGAAGATACGAAACCTTGTATAGGTTAAAATTAATTAACATTGTCTAGTATATGAGAAACAAAAGGGACGCAACGTCTGCGTCGGCCGCGCACTTGTGCGTGCGTTTTCCTTGAACCCTACGAAATGCGCGGCCGGCGGCGCCCTCCCCCGAGCTTCGTAGTGCAATCTATAAAAGAATTCGACACCAGCATATTGTCATCGGTGTGTTAGTGCCTGTTGCAGTGCTGTGTTGTGTGTTCGTTAACATATCGCCAAGGTACTTGCGTAATATACGTTTTTTTTTGCCGCAGCAGTGTTTTTGTTCACTGGTATTTCTTTTGTAGAGAAGGTTTAAAGTCGTGTCTAACGAAAACTGCTATCGAAAGTTCTAGAAAGTAGTGTGAAGCTCAAACAATGTACATAGTTCTATCTTATAACCCTTGAGAAGACGTCGTAATGACGCACCTTAATGTTAGCTTGTTGAATATTGGCGGCACTTCGTAAATTTTTCGCTATACCGTTTGTTGAGTTCCTTTTTACGATAGGACAACTAAAGCCCTGATATAATGATGGCTCATTTACATTCAATATTCATACACACCTAAAGCCCACGTGTCAGCCAGTACAAAATGATTTCCCAAATGAATAATTCATTACACTTATCTATTATTTAATGTCGGGTTTGACGATATTATTTCAATGTTTATTTGTGTACCTACAAATGGAATTTAATGTTATTTGTATTGATTAATTTGAGTTGTGTGCTTCTTGCTGCACATTTGTAATATTTTTCTCGTATTTTGCCGAGCATCAGTCGATAGGTAGCGGAGCAAATGTTTTCTCATCGTCGGCCACAACCGGATCGCCAAGGAGATGGCTAGGAAATGTTGAACGAAAACCAAATAGAAATGTCTCAATTTCCGTTGGAACGCTTCTTAGCGGAGTTGCAAAATTTCTTTTTAAGAAAAATTTTGTACTGGAATATGTTTCGTTCGTTTATATCAATTTAAAACGAATGACAAAATAATATTGAAGCAGTTTTCTTATATTTCTTGTTATGAGAATAAAATTCAATTTATTTACTTCATGTTTGTACTTGGAAACATACATATGCTGTGAGATATATTTGGTTGGTAGATTTTAAAATAGCAGGAAACACTTTTTTAGTGTAACTCAAAAAAAATTATCATAGTAGCTCGATAAACAAATACGGTGGGTTTCGTTTTAAAACTGCAATAAATTACAAAGACTTAAGAAGAAAGTCGTAGGGATAACATTAGTAGACCCATTAAAGGTCCAACTTACGCCTTTTAACGACGTACGCGATGGTAATGGGTTACTAAAAGCAGCGAATTTCGAAGCTGGTTTAGTTTATCGATTTATTAGCGCAGACTGAAAAGAAATTAAACTCTTTTGATTAAAGAATGAGAACCTATGTATTATGCACCTAAATTAGGCATTTATATTATTCCTTATATGTTTCTAATTTGTTGTTTGTATTCTAAAGATTTTTACATTGAAATTTGACGGAATATCATAAAAAAGAATTCTCTTTTGCTCGTACTACAAAACAATTTTATAAATTCTGGGCTATAAAACTATTCTTAATTAGAAGGATTTGAATAAAAGTATTTTAATTACATCTCACAAAAAACACCACTTATTGATCAACTGAAAGATAAAGATTGCTTACCTAGAATGCGGTATTATTATAGCGATGACATTCCACAAAAGAGTCAAACCGCACTACCGGTACTTATCTGTAATTTTAAACGCATAAGATGATCTCTTAAATTTAAATGGTTTGTTGAAATGCAGGAATCCTGTCCCATAAAAACCTGCACTAAGTAAAAGTAAAGATGTCAGTCGTGATAAACATTAATTCATATTTCGTTGTATTTTGACATATCTACTAATAATCTTAATTTTTTTTTTAAAAACCTCCTTAATATTTACAGGCAAGATTGGTAGAAAATTTTAGTTATGGTTATCTAGTATGGTTTTGTCGGATTTTTCTGGGAAGGGAATTGTTCAAGGTCTTTTGAGTGACATTAATTGCTTAAAATAAAAATAAATGAATTGCTTGCATTTTTGTTCCTACTTGAAAGTTGTTGTTTTGGAATCCAGATCAACAGAGTATTGTAATAATTAGTCTTTAATCTATGTAGTATTATTACGAAAGATAGATTGTTAAATGAAATTAATTGCATTTATTTTTAAAGGTGTTTTTTTTCAAAAAATGTCCATAACACTTCATATTTGAATAACACTTAAAGGGCATTAGTCTGACTATACGGCATTCTAATATGTATTAACTTATGTAATTATTTTTTGTTCCTTCAGAAACTTCAATCATGCAGACCTCAACGATCGTAGTCCTCGCGTGCTTGGTTGCCGTAGTCGTTGCGCAGGCGCACCAAGAACCACGACCGGTGGACCCTGCACAAGAAGCTCTGTTCGACACTCCGGAGCACGACAGGAGCCCCAGGAATAAGAGAGGTCTGCTGCTACTCAAGAAGAAGCTGTTACTCGGTTAGTATCTACTAATTATTTAGGTAAAGGTGGTAGGTACAATAGAGTCTGATTCAGAGTAGAATAAAGAAGGAACTATGCTGGAGATTTGTCATTTAAATCTGAATACTACCAATAACAGTGTTATGTATGGTGGTTATTACAAAAAACCTTAAAATTTTTATGTAACTAAGTACAAGTTGCTAACTGATATGGCATTCAAAGCAACATGACATTGATTTTGTAGATGTAACATAGAAAAGAGTTTTGCAGACCTTCGTTATGTCAGCATTTGTTGACGTTGGCTAAGTTCATTAGAACCTACACCAAGGACAATTAGCAAGTGTACAGGTTATAGATATTAAACAAAGAAAACTAGGAACTGATAATTGATTGGTATCAATGATCAACACAGATGTGTTCCAAGAGGAAAATGAGTTAGCAAAGTTTGATGACCATTCACAGTCATAGTGACAAGGGCATGTCAATGTTAAGATGTCGATATATGGAAAGTTTCGTCTTTCCATTTGTCGAACGTCGTCGATTAAGTAACGCGTGCCACCTTTCGGTGACATTGGACAAACATCGGTACAAGAGATACTTAATTTGTGTCATCATTTCATCATCTCATTTCAAATACCATAGCCTTGTTTAATGATGACTTGAAATATTTATTAATAGCCCAAAACCTTTCCTTTTTCGTGAAGATAAATGTAAATTTTCACGGCAGATTAGCTAAGTTACGCTACATGTAATATTTGGGTTACGTCCCTTGAGTCTCTCCATTTGCCTCTACATTGTCCATTACTTTTCCTAAATATGATAGCTCGATTATAATATCAGTTTCTCAATAATGCCTTACGAACATAAATTCCAATTTCACACAAGGTAAACGTTGAACACAAATATACATTTAATTGCTACGAGTACCTATTGCTAAAAATCAAATATTAAACCTATTACCACCTCGGGCATGTAAACATTTAATTTTAACATACCATCAAGGTAGCTTTGAAGATGGTTTAGCTAAAGGGGTCACGGCCTTCTAAACTGTGTCATGATCCGTACCTTTTTTCTGGTCATCATCAGGTGATATTTTCCACTTAATTTGAAACATTTGGCCAGAAATAACCCCACATTATTGCTATGCAGTTCGTAATTTATTTTAGAAACAATTTGACATCCATCCTGAGTTCATTATGGATTTAGAATCCGAATTATTGAGGTAAATTCGTGTGGGAACCCATTGTTTTCCATTAACGTTTCTGAGTAACGCTGCATGAAATTGATTGGTAATATAATAGATGATAATGACTTGTTTATGCTTTAATGATGGCATTGAATAAGCAATTAAATGTGTCTTTCTAGAGGCGTTTTTAATAAAATAACTTTTATGCCTTTAATATAATAACTTTTGCAATGTTAACTTTAAAGTTTATTTAGTGTTTCAAGGTCTGTTAAAGATTTATTAATATATCTATGAATTACGAAATCGATGAAAAATATCTGTCTTTCCCTCGAAACATTAATATTTACATGGTTGATAAATTCATCCTTGATGTATCAAATATGTAGTAGTACTTACATCTAAGCCTTGAGTGGCAAGCTATTTGAATTATGTACGAAGGCAAATAGTCATTGTTTGTATAGAACGAACGCCAACATACAAATGAAAAGGCTTTTTAACCCAAATATCAAGGCTTACTTTTCTGTTGAAGATCAAATAAGTTTACACATAATTAAGTGTACGTGACATAATTATATGTATCGTAATTGAGTGAAATGTAAAGTTTATGCTGTATTTATACCAGATCTAATATTTGTGGCTATGGAGACATCGTCCTTCAAATATTTGCTAAGCGTCGGGATCGCATACACTAGACTTGTTCCAATAATCCTATCTATACTCTTTAGCCACATTACTCAATTCTTATGTAAAAGCTAAAGTATATAGACGCGCGATATTATTGAATCTCTAGGCTATTAGACGAGGTATGAGTCATAGCCGTTCTCTTAATAATACTTCAATGACTAGGCAAAAATTTGAGTCTCTAGCTTAGTCATTTGCTACGAAATAAAAATCGTAGCACGTTGCTACGAAACTTTATTTTAACTATATCATATGATTATCTTTGTAAGGTTTGTTAGGAGGTGTACAGATTAAATGTTATACGTAGTAATTATTGTAGAAGAAGCCATCACCAAATTATTTAAGACTTTGTTGGACTGGGTATTGGAAAGATAAAAAATTAAAAAATCCATAGATCTAGAAATCAAACCATTGTTTGGGATTCATACTTACGAAAACACGAGAAACAAAAAACATTAATCAAAACAGTATTATGTTTATAAAAAGAAGTTATTAAATTATAAAATAATTGTTTCTTTTTTAAAAATAGAATAAGTAAAGCATGGCTTACTTAAAACAAAACACTGTAACTAGATAATTAAACAGGCAGTTTATATTCAAAGCTGGTCCGAACTGCATTACATCCTAATGATATGCAGTTGCCTTTTTGCTGGAAAGAAATTTTGCTCTGTTTGTTCATTATAGTAGCGCATAATATCCAGCTTGTTCTTACACGGGGTAAATAGAGATACAAAAAAGGCTTGACTACAGCGACACAAAGAGAAACTGTGAAATTTGAAAGAGTTTTCCATATCAATTTCTTAAGCATATAAATATTATTAGTAGCAACTATTAATTTAGGACAAGACACCTTCTTTTTTGGAATCACTTCAATATAAACCAACAATCAAATTATTTAATGTAACGCAAGGCTATGCAATCCGTCTATTAATATAATATCAATTTGTAAATTAACCGTTGTTACAATGTACACAAAACTTTAACTATTGAACTAGAGACAAAATGAACGCGTGTAGCCTACTCGTGAAATTTGGTCCAATATTTCAGCATCGGATGTTAGAGCAGGGCTATCAGGCGTATCCTGCCTTAGAGTGCTGCTACATCCATCAGCGGATTAGCGCCGCCTAACGACCGGGATAATGATTTGCGTACCAAAACATGTTTACATGTACGCAGGCGATGCAAATTTGGATTTTACATCTCTTTCAGCTTTAGTTGTAGGACTTACTATTTTGAAGTTTAAGTTATAGTAGTATTTATGTTACTTGATTTAAGGTTCTATTTCTTTTGTTTGTCAAAGTGTAAATACCAATTCTTTGATTTTAAAATAATAACGAGGGGGAAGTCTGTCCGAAGTAAATAGTTTTGTATTTTACCAGGTACTTAGAGATGATGTGTGATAGGATTTATTTTTTATTTGTTCCATTTTAGCATTCGTTTTTATAGTTGTCATATATCAAAACCACAAAGTACGTAGATCTTTCTTTACGAGATTATATTTATATAATGAGTTTACTCTCTTCACCAGGTGCTCTGGGCTTGAAAGCAGCGAAGGTCGGCGTTGGTGCTGGAGTAGTGGGCGCTCTCGCTCTGAAGGCGAAGGCCAGCTCCAAACCCTCAACATCATACTCGTACTCTAGCCATCACGGGTAAATATATTCAAATAAATGCCATCAATCAGTAAAAGTAATTAATAATAGGATTTAAATATGTATTCATATTTTAATTACATACATCAAATTAAATTAATTATCAAAATCAGTAAATCTTGAACTGGTTTTCTTAATAACAATGATACTTTTTAAAATACACGGTTAAGCAATATAGCAGTGTTCCCTTAAAATGAATTCGAAGCAAAACCACAGAATATAAATATTTACTCGAAGCTACGTTAAGGCATTCCAAGCATCGCATTCATCTCATGATAACATTTCTACGAAATATAAAAATGTAACTAGACATTCATTTATGTTTCGAGAGTTTTAACGTTTTTAAATACATATAAAATGATAATTTTAAATTCTATTTTAGTGCTATAAAATATTTAAAAGAATTGTATTGTACTGCTCCGTGATGACATACGTCATGAAGAAACATTTGATACTTATGTGTTTTACGCGTAGTCATGATTAGTTATCTTACCTATATAGCGGTCACTTGTAATGGTAAACAAGCTTTTATTATAATCAAGAAAGCTATTCTATGTGAATTACCTATGTTTGATAATCATAAACAGATCCCAAATCTTGTCAGGATCATCCCTAGGAGAAATTCTCCAAGTGATCTTCGCTTGATTTTGTAATAATATAAAAATATATTGGAAACCATTTTATACATTTGACTTTTCGCAAGCGATATCATGCAAAAGCATCAGTTCCTGGAATTTTAGAATTTAAAGAAGAAAATCTGCGATATTCAAATCTGTCCTGTGTCCGAGAATAGTTTAGATACCATTCCATAATATTTTGAATATGTTTTTCGTTCGTTCTAACAATTTTTTACCGATATTCGGGTGTACTATCAAGTTTGTATACATTTTTAAATGTAGCTCCTTGAATTAATCAATTTACTCATAAAGATTTGATAAAAGTTAATAAATGCATAAAAAGCAGACAAAGTATCAGATGATTCATATTTCTGTACCGGATCGGAAAGCACGGACAGAGTACTTTCCAACCACAAGGGTCCTTTTCAATGATTTTGCACAGTGGCAGGCATTTGTAACTGCGATTTCTAAAACCTGCATTGTTATCAGAACCGAGTTCAAATAGTGACACGATTCGCGATTCAGAGTCATGCAGCGTAAGTGAACGAGTCAGTTGTTCTCTTAAATATCAGGTGCCAATCCAGAACTGTTCTGATTTATCGAATTGTGTAGAACTGATTCGAATTTTTCATAAAGTTGAAACTTTTTAACTCTCAAAACAGTCGAAATTCTTGTTTCAACAAACATTTTGGTAAAGTAAGCCAGTTTATTTGTTAAATAGTCATTTCAATATGTAATTTTTAATAATAACATTTAAAGATATCAGGTAATAATTTCTTCAATTTACGTAGGTTCTTGTTCGCTCGATTCTCGATGAAAACAATTTAAGTATGTCAAGAGTGACAAGTATTAAAGTGGGCAATATATGTATTTGATGAGATGCTAGATTTACGAAGCTGTAGGCTGTGTTGGCACGCACTAACTTTCGTCTTATATCTGAATTTATATAAAAGATTAAAAAACCTACGATAATAATAATCGATTAAAAATTAAAATCGAGTACTTTGAACATTAAAAGATTTGTTTTTAAATAATTAGAACTATGTAAAGTTTGTATTTTAAGTTATAATTTTATATGCTTATAATAAAATTGTATTGATTAATATTGTGCAGGGAACCAGCACTGATAATCAGGTACTGAGTTGCGGCGACTTCCGATAACTCATAGTTTTTAATATTGAGTAGCTGAGAAGTTTCATGTTAGTACCAAATGATTTTATATACTTTTGCACATGTAGAAGGTAGTTGCACTAAGTATTTGTAGAGCATTTGTTTAAAGCACCTTAGATTATTAAACGTAATACGACACTTTTTTCAATGCTTATTGATTTCTTCTTCATTAAGAAACTTTACATTTTCGACATTTGTATTACGTTTAAGGAAACACGATTATTTATTGCCTTCACTGCATGACAGAATTACTTATGAATTGGCATTAGAGGAACACCTGTGGTTTACGTTCTGAGTTGAGTCTTTTAAGCAAATACATGTATAAAATTCGAGGTAAGGTTTTTACATAGATACAATGAAACCTTAGGAACGCGGATCTCAATGTGTATAGTTGAACGACAAATGTTTATTTTCTTAAGAAAAATAATGATTCAAGCTCGCCCAGGTATGTTTTGTGCACCGCTGTGTGCTATGAAATGTGTCGTGTTACAATGTTCAAACACAACCTTTGCTCCTTTAGGCGCAGATGGCCAGGTAGCAAACTGAGTAAGAACGTTAAAATGTAATGTCATGCTGCCTCAACACATTCCAAGTATTTGTCTATTACTTGTGAAATACTTGGGCAACAAAACACCTTTCAATAATAAGAATTCAATGGCTCATTTAATTGGCATTGATGCAATGTCATCGTCTAATTGAAGGTTCAATTACATACTTAGGAGGTTTTCATAGCTTGCCTTCATCAGTAACCATGAAGCTTTGTCTAAAAGATACTATTAACCATAATCCTCATTAGGAATACATTTTTAGGTGTAAGTAGTAATTCAATTATAATCTTTAGTTCGAAGGTATTATGGTCGAGTATCAAACACCTCGAGAGTCGCATAGTAGCGTTTACGACTCACAGAGAAGCTTTACTAATTTATTTATATTAAAGTCGCCTATTCAATGATCACAAAAAATGTACACAATACAAAACAAAAAAACAAAAAACAGAACGACAGTCTAGAAATTCCATTAGAGATTTCGTCAACGGTGATACTACTCATTAACATTTTAAATTGATTATGTATTATTATGTCAGCTACTTTATGGTTTTTTCCCAATCCAAGTAACAGCACAACGCCCACAGATTGTTAATAGTTTGTCCTCAAATAGAAGTTTATAGTAATTAAATATCAAAAATGTAATACAAAATGGCTTTTTCATTTTCATATGCTACGAGACATTATACATAAAAAAAGTGTTTCATATAATTTCAAAACCAAAAATTTCAATACAAACATGACCACTTTTGCGACCACTACACACACTAACGAGATGGTTCAGATATTTTAATTAGATATGAGATGACAGCACGTCCTCTAATTAATATAGTTTTATTAATAAAGTAAATAGTATAAACCGGTATTCTATCTTCATATTTCACCATGGTATGTGATATATGAATAGTTAAATAGTACGGGTATCGCATGTCTTTACCATTGGCCGGTAGGATAAAACCATAGACTAGAATGGAATGCGGATTCGGCGATAAAAGATTTCAAATAAAGAAATCGTTCACCCATATACGTAACACATATTCTTAGCACATTATCACGACATTATTTTTGATTATTTTTATTTCTTTTCGGACTTTACACACCTTTTCTTTGCTTCTTGTAGTTGCATATATGATAATATGTAGACTTTTGCATTGTTTTTTATTTATACATAAAATGATTAAGTTTTGGGTATAACTAGACACATTTGGAATCAGTTGTCGAATTGTCATGTTTTCTTGTATTATTTTTCGTTGTAAATATTTATCCTATAAACAGATTCATAAAAATAATCCTTAATAGAGCATTTTGAAGTCATGATGACTTTGCGAGCTGTGTTTTTTGACCTCTGAATGACACCTTCTTGATGGTGATATCATCAGAAATAGAACCATAGAACATTAACATAAAGAGACCATAAAATGAGAAACTTGAACAATTCGACAAATTATGTATCAGTTGCTGTGAAACATAACTTTTTCTTAAACGTTACTTAGGTTATGTATTGTTACTAAACCCGCACTTTTTTCTTAAAGACGGGTCTAGTTTGCTCGATTCGGACTGGGTAGAGATGTGTAGTACAAACCTACCATCGAAAAGACTTCTACTATTTTTCTTTATGTCATCTCTCGATATTAGATTTTTTGACACAGACATTATTTGTGTGAATGTATTGTAGTAATTGTTGTTTTAATTTTTCAGTTGGTGATTGACTGCACTGGGGATTTTCTTATAACGCATCAAGTGTGTCTACGTTCTAAGAGAAACCTAGTAATTTTGTAAAATAGTATTAATTGTTAGGTTTTCAGAGGCTTCCATGTGATGGGTATTTAGATCAAATTGTATATATTTCACTCAATCGTGACGTCATTTCATATTGAACCTTTATCCAACAACAATACATGCCAGTTTAGACTGCAAACACACTGCGAACGATAGAATAATTTTCTGTGCATACAGTTATATCAGAAATATCAGGGTACATTTATGTATGTGTATTAAAAAATAGCTTAATAGCTTTGATGAAATTCTAGTCCGTCGCAAATTCGCAAACGACTAATGTCCCCCGAGGCGAAACGTAAATTCAACCTGACATGTTAACTGTGTGCGTAATCAATGCCGTTTAAACAAATGAATTATGTCATAAAAGTTTGTTTTAAAAATGGTATGAGTGCTATTCTTAATAATTAACTAACATCAAAGCCAAAGTGACATAATTGAATTCGCCAACAGAAGTGTACACGCACGGAATAATGTCCAATATATGTTATGTCATCGACGTCACGTAGACTTGCATTATATGCAAATTACCTGTTACTTATACCTAAGATTTAATATAAGCACAGATATAAGTCAACGTCTGAAGGAATGCCATAGTAGATAGTTCAGTAGGATGTATGTCTCACACATAGCTATAAACTTCCTGAATGTTGAACACACCGACATATCAAATAATTTGAATACAGAATAATGTGAACTCAGGAACTCCTTGGTCTTTACTAAGGAGTTCCGAAGTTCATTCAAAACCTCCTTCATGGCTTTTGTATATAATGGTCCCGAAGATGCTTAACAACAGTCGGCAAAGCGTTTAAATTTGTCTTCTAAGAGTCAAAAACGTATTGAGAAAGAAAATAAAATAGCAACTGTTCTATTGTATACAAAAGCTAAACATTGTCAATGCGAAAAAGCTGTTGATTTGTGTTATAATATTTATAACATTAAGTACTGCAGACATTGATGTTATGAACGTTTTTAAGAGTAATAAATGTTGTATAAATACATATATTTCAGTGTTTTATTTACCTCGTGTATTGTCTGTTATTGACATAATCTCAGTATACTTGTAGTATATTTTTACCAAATGCGTCAACAACAGGTGTCCATTAACTTTATGGATTTAAAAATCATAGGCATCTCATTTATCACCATGATATTGTCACTATAAAACCAGTTTATACGAATTAATATTAAACTTTAGAAATTCCCAACATTACAAAGATCCTTGTTGTAGAGAACCGTTACCTATCTACTATTTTATTTTTCCATAGTGACTAGTTGATCAGGCAGGTAAATTGATCAGAATGACAACACACGGTTAGTGACGACTAATTAATAATAATACCATAATTTATGAACTAAAATCAATATGAGGTAAATGACCTTATCCTAACACTCAAGTTTATTTTAACAAAACCTTTTTCGAATGTTTCTAAAAGGTTTGAATAAAATACTGGCTGAATTTGGCGAATAAAATATGTGTAAGCCATATTTTTATAGAAAAGAAATAATAAAAAATAAAAACTTTATGGAATCTCTCTATTTTTTTGAACAATGTTGACCAGTATTTTGTGGTTAAATTTTTTTAAGTTTTTATTTATCAAAGTATTGATAAATTAAAAAAAACCTTTTTATTACTTAGTTAATTTTTATTTCTTGTTGAAAAATTAAAACGAGGAATGGTAAAAAAAAACATTTCCATCCCTTAAGTTTTTTATTAAAAGTTTATATAATTTTTTAAACAAGTTTTAGGTAAAATAGTATTTAATCAACTTTAAAAAGAAGTTGATTTAATGTGGTTTCTCTCTGACTAGTTTATAGTAATGTGTGGTGGTTTTGTTTGAGAACATGAGAACCGTAAATGCAACGCAGTGTGATGCTATGAGCAGACAATACGGCGCTATTACTATTATTTTCGTATTGTCATACATAACATATTTATATATTTTAGAAAAATAAACACTCCCTAGATATCCATCAAAATATTGTCTGGAATGTTCTTATTCTTTGTGGAAAAAAGTTGCTTGATATTAAAGATATTTTGATTTAACCATTTGTAATAATAATAATAGATTTACTATTTTTTAGATTATAGAACACACTTTGACGCGTTTCGTTTGTTATTATCATATCAATAATGTAATAATTTATTATCATTTCCCTAACAAGGCAACGCCAAAAAAAACATATAACCGAAGTTTATGGTTTAAATTATGTTTGTGTATTCTAAAATAGAATTCCCATAGATACCTACAAGAATAAATATTCCAATAATTCGTAAACAAGAACATTAATTAATTATTGAAACAAAATTTTTTTTCCAAATGAAGGGAAATTCTATTTTCAAATTTACAATGAGATATATTCTGTAATTCAAAAATGAACGATGTGAGTATTTAGTAGGTAATTAAAGTATACATACAGAAAGGTCAAAGGTCATTTCGAGGTGTTCTGTCGAATGTCGTTGACACTAGAAGTTGCCAGTTGCTTCTAAAAATAAATTAAGCAGATACATATTCTGTTATGATTATATAATATTGGAGTCATGTGGTGGAACACATGATTTTTGATAATGTCAGTTGGAAGAAATGGTGAAAACTGGATCCTCCAACCATGAATTTTATGGTTTAAACTTATGGTCAAAGGCCTTTTAATATGTTTATGACTACGCTACGTTTATTTTGATTGACTTGGTAATCGAGTGGTAGCGTATGCGACTATTGAGCAGGTATCGATTTCCTGAAATTTCCGAGTCGAGCAATGTATTTTATTGGTCTTCGTGGTTCTTTTACAGATTTCATATAATAATTTTATGCATCTTTGCACATTCATCACTATTACACACACAAATTAAAATTTACCACACGCATAACACATTATATCTAATAGTTATACAGCTCCGATTTTGTAAGGTTATAGGCCCCTAGATAATGATGGTAGTGGTTTTGGTGATGTACCGTTGTAAATAATTAATTGCTATAATTCAAAAGCCATAAAGTTTAGTTTGATTTACTTACCTACCAATATTTTTTGTCACTTAAATACCAATATAAGGATAATAAATGCTCTTTACAGTTAGATAAACTACGATTTTTGTCACTCTTTATGTAAAACTGCTGAAAAGACTTTGAAGAAAATTGCCACAAATATAGATTATAGTCATAGATAGATAGATAGCATAGCAAAAGTTAGTATAATATTTTAAATTAATGTTGCTTGGACAATGTTGCCTCACTCGAGGATTGCCTACTGTGTCGTGGGTGCGTTAATACGTATATAGCATAAAATAATGTAGTTCCTCTTATTTTCTGAAGGAACAAGTTGACATATAATTTACATCACAAGAATATGAACACTTAATTATGTTTTCCTTATGCTTAAATAAATCATCTGCTCTATACAACAGCCACCACAAAACATAATTTCTCAAACTATCCTTTTCAATCAAGCCTACCCAAACCCCGTCATCGATTTTCGAGGATTGGATCTGAAACGCATACATTGTATGTTATTCTTTCATCTTGCACCTACACGAAAATGTTTTGGCCACAAAATGCGGCAAAACTTCTCAATTTTTCAGTAGCCAAATGCTATAAACGCTCAACGTATTCCTTATAATATAAGGCTTATATGACAACTGTTATGGGGTAATATATTTGGACGGGAGGATTGTACCTCGTTTCTTTTTTCGAGATAATCCTTTGTTTTTGTATCGTTTTAAGGGGTTGTGTTAGAAACAATATTGAAGAACCTTTTATTTTAGCTGATATTTGAAAATAATTTAGCCTGTAAGAAGAGATCGGTAATGATATACGCAATTTTAATTCAAAGTTCTCTGTTCTGTTGCTATCTATAGCTTAGCCTTTTTCTTTATTTATAAAATATTAAAGTTTAAAATGCATACAAGCAACTTACTGAAGGTCAGCAATATGTAAGTCCAAAAAATGCCAAAACAGGTCAAGACATCTGAGATTTGTCACCGTCGATAGTGTCAAAAATCTTTTTGGATAAATATCTGCTTACATCTTTGGTTTAAAAAACGTCTCCTCAACCTCAAAATAAGTGAAATACCTTGTTAATTGTGACAGTCCTTTCCTGGTGCAAGGATAGAATTTTACGACAACCGCGTGAATAACAGGGGAGGTAACAAATGCGACACGTCAAGGTTTATGCAATTATTATTGGTTTGATTTAAGTGCGAGCGCAAGCAATTACTTGCCGCAGCCCGACTCGGAGGATGTGAAGCAACGGGATGATTTTTAGTCAGTTAGAGTCTAACACTACCTCTCACCTCCCATCAACCCAGAGCAGATTTGAATAATTAGACCCAGGGATATATACAAACGTATTGGGGACTCATGGTCTGTTATTTCTGATATGAAAGATTCGGATTTGTTAGTTGATGTACTTCATAGGATATCAACGCAAAATTGACTGACGAATCATTAAGACGAATATCCGCAGCAGATTAATTCGGCAGCGTAAACAAATTACATTACCTATAATATTAAGCTTGTATCAGTAACGTCGAATTGTTTTCGTAGTCGTACATGCCAACGATGTGGAATAATCTTTATTTGATTGGATCACGATCGAACGGCGGCTTAAAACTGAGTATTATTCAGTTGCAATGGAAAAGAGTAATGTATTCAAATATATTTCATTGTGAAGGGTCTCGGCGCTTTCCTTCAAAATATTCTGGCGGTTTATGAGCTAAACAGCTGATAAAACAGGTGCTATGTATGTTCGCAATTTACCAGGGCACCTCGAGATTTGCATACCAAAATTGGACGATTCAATTTGGCATACAAAACTATGACGCTTTTGTATTATGTGAAGTGCGAAAAAAAGTTTTTAACTGATCCTGTTGAGGTCGTTCACTTTAAATGTAAATTGTTTGATGTTAAACAACTATCGTAGAGGTATGAGGTTTGGTATGGCGGCAAAATTCTATTTGTGTTTAGTGTTTACTTTGACGTTGATTTACTCAATGAATGAAGTACCTTTGTATTGGTTGACGACATGAGCTTTACATATGTAATACTGGGTCATCGGCTCATATTTAGATTTTACGTTCCATTCAATAAAATTAGCAAGTACCTAAGCGACTGTGATTTGTAATATATTTGGGACTGGGTTCATTATCTTCATACAAGTCCACGATAAAATGTAGCAGTTAAAAAAGTGTAATTATTATGATTATTTACTTAATTAAGTACGTTCTGTATTCAAAATTATCGTATCCAGACATTATGAAAAAGACTTTTAGTATCCTACTCCTGTGCCTTAATTCTGGATAAAGTCATTTTAACCACAACTACTCATCTCTTGATTCCACAATAAAATTGTTGTACCTCATTAAGAACATTATATTTACGCGGGTATTAACGCGGAAAATTATAATTTGAATACCTTGGTAGGCTTGACGTTTCGACCCGGTTGCACAGGTCGTGGTCACAAGCAGACTGAAGACGCGATGTCACAGCTCCCTGCATTCGGGTGATGAATCTTCATCTACCCCCTTATTTTCATTTTCTACCATATTAGGCCGTCTACACACTACGCTGATTATATCCACAGATGTGTTAACCGACTTTGAAGGAAAGCGAGGTTGTGTTTTGCGAAGCACTGGATTCCACGTCGACGACAATTTAAAGCCGTCCTCCCGATTGAAATTATTTGGGCATTTCTTTATTTCAACCGCTTCACGCACAAGTCTTGTATGGTAGTGGCGATCAGTGGAGAGAATTTGCGGTCGGTGGAATTCTACCCAGTGATTAGAACCAGCCTGGAGCAGGTGTTCTGCTATCGCTGATTTGTTGCTCTGTCGGTTTTTGACTGCGGCGATATGTTCTTTGAGCCTCTCAGCAATGGTCCGCTTCGTTTGCCCAATGTAGGAACTACCGCAGCTGCAGTTGATCTTATAAACACCTGGGCTTTGTAGCGGCAGTACATCCTTCGCCATGCCTACCTTATCATGAAGTTTAGCCTCAGGTGTGTAGATCGTCGGGATCGAAAACTTTTTAAGGACGGATCCTATCTTGTCTGTCACACCCTTGATATAAGGCATGAAGGCAGGTTGTCTGCTCACGTTTGGATGTCTGGCTCTCTTCAGCGGTCGCAATAGTCGCCCATCCCCTACACTATATCCGTTCTTTTTAAGTACCTCCTGAACATGGTCTAGCTCTTGCCCCAGATGTTCAGGGTCACAGAGGTCATATGCTCTGTTTTTTAGTGATATCATCACGGATTGTAAGTGTCGGGGGTGGTGATGTGACTTTGCATGTAGGTACCGATCAGTGTGAGTTGGCTTTCGGTATACACAGTGCGATAAGGACCCATCTGATCTCGCGGTTATTTTAATGTCCAAGAATGACAGCGACCTGCCCGTCTCCAGCTCATAAGTAAAACGCATTTTTGGGTGGATGCTGTTTAGGTGATTTACATATTGACGTACTTCTTGTTCACCTCCCTTGATAATGCTGAAAATGTCATCCACATACCTTTTCCAAAGCCTGATGGTATTTGGGCCGAGGCTCAATGCCTGTTTTTCAAAGTGTTCCATCCAAAGATTAGCTAACACAGGGGCCACTGGACTTCCCATGGCTACGCCATCGATTTGAAGGTAATGTTGGCCTTGAAAAAGGAAGTAATTTCCATCCAGGCAGTGTTTCAGCAAATCAATATAGTTGTGGGGCATGTCATTGTCACTAAGTACATCTTTGACAACATCCAGACACTCCTTAATTGGCACATTGGTAAATAACGACTCAACGTCAAAGCTCACCATGAGTTTTTCCGCGTTAATACCCGCGTAAATATAATGTTCTTAAGATGAAACGCGAAAGTTTAAAAGTTAGTTGTACCTCATTGTTCGAGTGATCGTAAGCGCGATCGTTAAGAGGTCTTGACTTCGATCATTAATACATTATGGATTTTCTAAAAAAAAAACACTAATAGCATAGACTCTGGAGGTGTTTATGGCAATAGGCTCACTAAATAATACATAGGGAAAAAATCCTGAAAATAAGTATCATTGAATATATATATAAGAACTCTGGGAGTTAAAGGCTTGACGTAGGGGTATGTGAATTATTTTACGACGCTTTTTATCCTTCGGAGATGACGAGACTTTATGACAACTGACCAAAAATAGAGTTAAGGAAGTATTAGATAAAAATAGATCCTTATATTGTCTACATAATATATGTATTATGTATATAATATCACTTTGCAATGAAAAGTCTTTTTACATATATTCTTTTGATATTATAATAAGTGACGCACATATTAACATGAGATCCTGTAGCTGAAGTATTCCCAACCAATTATTGTGATAAACAACTCGATGCTCAAACAGGCACAATATAATCTTCAGGTACTTGCTTACAAACTTTTGATTAATACCTACGGAATTTGAACCCAACGAAGTTAAGATCGCGAACTATGGCCGGCAACTATTTCATGTTTGTAATTACATCTGATGAATATTGAATAGCTGAAACAAATGGGCCTGTGTGCGTGATATACCTACGAGATATAGGTGGGGCGACAACATACCTCCTTTAAGGCAACATAATATTATATTTATTATCTGTTGGCGTGTGTGCTCGCCTCGCCGACCTATAAAAGTCATAGGCAGGACATCATCGCACAGTAGATCAGTGATCAGTGTTTGTATCGGACGGTGATATTTTGAAACAGGTAAATTAATTTCCATAATTTCGTAATATTTTTATACGGTTTTTTTTTTAATTTTGCGATTTAAATTGCGTGTTCTATTTTTTAATTTTCAAGTTAATTTCAAGATTAGGTGGTCCATATTTTTTTTTAAATTTGATATAACTATATTCTCGAAAATATACGGATATTTTTGTACGATCAATGTAATGTAATATCGAGTGATTTAATCTGAACTTTTTTAGTACATTTTCATATTAACATTAACAACAGCAACAGATATTACAAAAAAGTAATGTGAAAAAATAACTTAAGCTTTTTTTTGTTGCAAATTCCATAAAACTTGACAAATCGAATACCATAAATTATGTCAGTCTATTGTGTTGGATGACAACTTCTAAAAAACTTCCAATATTATGATGTAGTTACCTCGAAATCTGTTATTAGATAGGTACAGGTAGCATGAATTTTACAATAATTTCTTGTGGAATATTAGAAAACATTAAAATATTTTGTACACCTTAGCAACTAATCATGAATCCGGATACCTAAAAGGTATCAAGAGTTTATAAGGTATAATCAAGATCAAAAATAAGAAAAAAATTGCAACTTGTAAAAGAATATTTGACTAATTTAATCGCGATTTGCTTCTCCCTAGTAAGTAAAATATACGAATTATACTGCTAATCTGTTACATACAAGTTCATTCAGATTTAATATTCTTTTTTTACAAATTGAGTAACAAGCAGTAGTTTAATAGAAGGGAAATATAGATTAACGATTATAGCAATTAATCAATTTGTCAAGTACTTGTATGTAATTTTACCATGGAACCAAAAGGAGGTTTAAAGAGAAGGTCAAAATCCAACATTGACTTTGGAATATTAAAATTGCAAGTCAAAACTAGCTTAACGAGTTCAGTTTTAAAGGTTGTGCGGAAGTAAGTAAAAGTAAAGTTTAAATTGTTAATTATTTCTTGTGTAGGTACTACACTGATTAAGACAATCTATATTGCAATGTCGAATAAATTGTCACTTAAAATTAAGTTATCAGTAAAAATATGGTGGTCCAGAAGAGTTCTTTTCGAACTAAGAGTAGTGCTTCGAAATCATAATAAACATTCTGATAATACGAACTTCATTTGTTAACATTTGGTAGTGAGAATATAAAATTATCGTGATAAAAATTGTATACATACATACATAAATAGCTGATATCAATGTTTGCCTGCATACATTTATTTTTTGGACATATATATTTATATATGTATATCACTACTCCTTTGCGGTTTCATTAGGCTACTCGTCGATTATATGACTAAGATGAATAAAAAAATAAGATTAAAAAAAACATAATATTAATTAAAATTAAATAATCTTTGTTAAAATCATGCTTAAAATTAGATTCTATAAAATATTATTACATTTTATTAGTTACAATTTATTATATCTAGAGTTTTACGAATAATACACATAAAGTACACGTAAAGATATTCATTTGAATAGAACTTTATTATAAGTATCCGGCTTTGTGTTGTAAAGAGCACAATGTTGTTAGCTCAAAACCAATAAAATCATTTATAGAAATCGTACTATTTTTTAAATAACTAAATTGATAGCTACGATTTTAAATGTAACACCCATTCTTATTACACTCCGAGCGAACGCCGGCGTTTGTGCACCTATTATTTTTCTACTGTGTCTCGAATTACCACCGCATCCCAGGCATCGCACTCACATTAGTAAAAATATACAATAAATATTTATGTTTGATTTGGTAATTACACTTGTAACAATTAAGAAACAACCACTAAGAACTATGTCGAATTACTTTTGTTTTACGGCTCACTTACTGTTTGTCGACGCAACTAGACTAGTTTCGAGCCACGCCAAGGGCTCATAGTCGTGAGTCATAGCATTGTGCGAGTATTTCACAACGAATCTATTCCTTAAAACGTAATTAATTAAACATTTCTGTCTCTTGAGACTTTTATTATAACAAAGGGCTAATTTATTAATTATTATTTTTTGTTACAGACAGACCACATCAAAATGAGAGTATACACCATTGTCTTTGCTTTGTTGGTGGCCTTCGTGGCGAGTATGGCGGCTGAGAATGGCCCTCTGATGGCTGCCCTTCAGCCAGTGCCTGTGGACGATACTGAAGTCATGGTTGTCCAGCCACAAGGTGTACGGGAGAAGAGGAGTGCACTTCTTGGTGAGTAAATAAATATACCTATCTTAAGTCTTAAGTAACTTGTATTAACGATCATTTTATCAAAAACAAGTCAAAAATCATTTATTTCAATTAGGTAGACCCTTACACGCACTTTTGAACGTCGAACAAAATTCTGAAGATATAAAGTGTCAGTCTGTCTGTCAGTCCTCTTAGTGAAGCTATTTGTTTATGGTAGTAATTTTGAGAAGATTACGGCTGCTTAAAACCTACAAATTACAACCTTAAAACATAGGTACAACTACATACATATTTAGTATATTTGCGTGTATCATGAAAAATCAACTTTGTACAAGTACTTGCCAATCTTCATAAGTTATCTCACGCGAGGTTATTTCAGCGATGAGTTCAAGGACACGATTTCTAGTTAATAATCTTAAAATCCGGTGGGCAATTATGTAATTATTATTATTTGGGATTGAATTTGTGCCTTATGCATATACAAGTGCACAATTCAAGGTTAATACGCTACACCTCACGCAATGTTCTTGTTTCTTACGTAATGTGCCCGACAGTTCAATAATCTGTACACTTGGCATATTTTTGCTTCATTTAATTATAAGGTCTTAGTACTAAAATATATTTGGTAGTGGACTTGAAAGAAAAAAAAAACAAAGAAATTATTCGGTCTGTTCCATACCTATATTATAAATCTAATATAGAATTTAAATAAACAAAAACATTTATTATTATATTAAATGTCAATTTATTCTTGTTTGTAAGTCGAATTATTCATAATGCATTCTTTTCAATGACGTTTTAAATGATAACAAAGTTTGATTTTAGAACATAAAATCTGTTTTAGGGCAGTCTACATTACATAATATGTAAAGCTACTAAAATGTTAGGACGTACATGTATACAACATTTCACGAAGAATAAAACCTTTTTGATAAAAACTTACAAACTAAACGGTTCGTTTATGTATAAAATAGTGGATTAACCATGACAAAGTACCGACCCGGCTCGTTCATAGTTTGTACATCTCACACTTATCTCACCTCGTGGGCTCTTAAAGTCGTGGAAAGATTTGTAACACCCCTACACTTGGTGTGAAATATTGCGATGAGAACAGGGTTGAAATCCTCCCTGGTCGAGGCGTGATTACAGTTTTACATACTTGAGTACAACGGGATAAAGTTCAGATCACTTTGCATTTGAATTTACAGCTCTTCACTATTCCGAAATTATTTTATTCTTTGGTCTTTCACAGAAATACCTGTTTAACGATTTACAATCACTTTAAAAAAATTATGATTGTTTTTTGTTAAAATATTTTGGTTTTTTTATTGCTACCGAACTGGTTGTATCGATATGTGTTTTAAAACAAGAAAATGACAAATAATAAAACCTCCTTTTTTGGAATTCGGTAAAAAGCTAGTCGATTTACATTTTAGTTTGCTGTGTCATAGAGCACATGATGTTCCTTTATTTTTACTTGTTGGTCCTGTATGTGTATTGTTCCATTCGCAACATAGCGAGCGAGCTGTCGCGTGTCGCAGTAATCACCCAGTGTCGCCTAGGCGTATACAGAAAGGCACGCATCCGTATACCTTTGCATTCCGACCAAATTTTTGTACATACGTACAATCATAAAACATTGCTCGTACTTATATATGGATACTTTTGTATACCAATAAATCAGCAATGCAAAGTAAAGTATCCAAAAACGATTAGAAACATAGTTAGAATCTCACTTCGTTATTTTTTTCATATTACGTTTTATTATTGATTCCATAAATATTAATACTGAATTATGAGTATCAAAGTACTGTTTTATATGAATAAATAATTCTATGAATAAAACAAAGTCAATGCGAAATGCATTAGGGATATTAAAACTTTGTTATTAAGGTTCTCTTGACCGGTCGACGACCTTCGCAGGACTTTGCTTTTAATTTATAAGTTATTTTAATTAATTATTTCTTATTTGAATTAATTTTGTATTACGACAAGTTTATTTATGTTTATGTTAAAAAGTATATAACAATAAATTTTGCTTTTTCTTTTTGTACATACCATTTTGTAAAACAAATTATGTTTTATATCAATTATGGAAATAATTTTATAACTTGGTAACAATGTAACACGATGACTAATTTACATTTTCACGGTCATTCATTCTGTCAAATCATTGCTCTCCGTCAAATCGTGATTAGCTGATTTATGTGAAAACAATTCTTCCATTTAAATACGTGTGAATAGGTGTAGTTTGTTTGAGCTGTCAATAATCAGTCATATTATGGAATCCCCCGCGGAACATTGTAACGTGTTGCGCATATTTGTAACGTTAATGAGAAATGGATACTGCGTAACAAATACGTCATCCCGATCCCTGAAGACCTCACTTTCTAGCCCTAGAGATTGATGACGTAATAAAACGTAATAGACTAGACGGATCACTCGATCAGCTTTCCACAATGCCGTAATATGCTAATATTTTGTATAAACACGGTTCCGTATTAACAACCTAGTTTGTTTGACCAAGCCTTGAACTTATACCATCACTTTAATTTTTATTATTATAATGCTCGGTAACAGGATATACAAAAACCATAAAAATGTAAATTCCTCGAGCTATAAATAATAAAAGCAGAGTAAGGAAAGGAATTAAAGCCGTCATAAAAATGTGTATGGCGTGGAGGAGTAGGAGTGTGAGGATGGACGTCGGTCGCGGACGCGGGTCCGTGCCGCTCACGGACTCGTAAATGCAAATCTGCACGACAATTTATTTTTATGAACAATTAGGCACGGTTGTCTATATAATGAGATAATCTCGTATATTTCACCTAAATTCTACTTTACGTGTCACATTGCGTGGCTGTGTCGTATTCCCTCAACGCTTTATTTATTTTTTAAGTGAAGTACTTCACAAACTTTCGTGCTCTAGATTGTTTTTATGTCATTGTCAGTATTTATTATGTTATCCGAACAGTAATAATGTTACGAAACAAATAACACAGCTTTTTGGTAACGTTTTATTGTGCTTCGAAAGAGTGGGGTTATGTTCGAACGTGCTCTCAACGAGAGAATCTCTAAACTAGTTATTCAAGTTGATTACAATTTTAAATTCTTTCTTGTCTCCTACCATTGACTTACCTGACTACCTACTGATACTATTAACTTAGGTATTAATTTGCATATTAAATGCACACATATAAAAAAATCACTACATTTTTGTCGTTTTATGGCTTAAAATATACATTAAGTTTAAATAAGAGGAAAAATATAAACAAATGAACCAGTAATATACCAACATAGACAGAATGGAATGCCTATATTGTCTATGTTGGATAAAATACGTCTATTAAATTAATTCGTATTCATAGTCATAACATTATTACTCAACTCTAATTTTCTTGAATACCTTATCGAATGGATGGATATGGACCTATTCATCTCAATCATTTTTTATTTAAATAAGAGAGAGATACGCAAGAAATGACTTCCTCCAATTTATTATCCTATGTAAATCCTATGTAAATATTTAATTACTTGAAATCATCTAAAATGTGTTCGTTCCTCAGGTGCTGGTCTCATCGGCGCTGGTACTCTGGGTCTTGGGGCTGCTGGTCTGGTTGGTGCCGGTCTGGTTGGAGCTAAGGCTGGTTTCGTTGGTGGCGCTCTAGCTGGTGGTCTGCTGTCCCACGGCAGGAGCTACGGTGGTGGCTACGGCGGCTACGGAGGTTACTACAGCGGCGGCTACGGCGGACACTACGGCGGTTACGGAGGCTACGGCTACGGTGGACACGGACGTGTCTACAGGTTCGTCTAATTGTGTATTATTACTTCATATATGTAGTAACAAGAGTATATTACATATACTTTATTAGTTATTTCATTCCAACGAATGGTTTCTAGTAAACAAATAGTTATACATAATTTGCAATGCATAAATGAGTTTTAAGTATTTGTCACTGTAACAGGGTTTTCCAGTAACGATTATTATTTGATTATTATTATTATATATTACTTGATAATAAAGAGAATGATTTGTAATATCATAACATTTGGTTAAACAATTCTCTGTTTACGTTTATTCAATTATTAATTTTAGTATTTGCTCTATTTCAGACGATACCGCTTTTACCATTAACTCTAAAACAATACAACATTAGCATTACTTCATGATAGTTTAAATTATCACAACGACCACAATCGCCTTACAACATCACCCACAAATGTGGTTCACTAATACTAATACACTCCAGCAAAACACTTTCATTAATACTTATGACATTGAACTATTCAATAACAACATACAATAATTCGACCATGTTTACTGAAAAAATAGCTCTTATGTCAAAGTTTATAAAAGTCACATCGATCAATTTAAACACATAATTATTAAATCTGAATATACACAAGCACGGAGCAACCCGACAATGGAATGAGAAAAATGTTCTGCACGAGTCAGGTTATTTTTAAAATAAATTAAATGCACTTTAATGGTGTTTTTATAGTAAGAGCTTTGGTAGATATTTGTAAGGCTTCTATATTATAGTGAGTCAATTTGTGATATAATGTGGCACATTGCAGTTTTCGCCTAATCTTTGTCGCTTGATTTGGGTACAAAACTGGTAATGGTACTCGAATACTAGTATTTCGAGATAAACCCCACAAAGAGTGGCACTCAGCATATGCAGTATTTATTGTTAATAGTTTAGATTTTTCGTCTTCCATTATTATTTATTATTGTATTGTTATTTATTAGTTGTTGTTGGTTCAAACAATAGATACGCACTTGTTTTTTGGAATACATTTGCAAAAGACTATCGCTTTGTTAATCACAGATTGGATCAATTCTATTACCAAAGTGGAGATTTTGCTACTATTTTTTCATTTCTTTAAGTGTTAATTTCTTTGGTGGAGATTTTTTTTTTCTATAATTTTACATTTTGCTTTTTTTCCAAATAACAGTTTACTAATCTTATGTATTTTTTGGTTTCAGGAAAGTATACCTCGTAGAAGAACCCTGGTGCTGAGCCAGACGACTGACTGCTATGCAATACCTGATTATTTAAGTGTACGTGATTGTGAATGGAGTGTATTAGTACAAATTAATAAAACCAAAACATAAAAATTATATTATTCCTTTTATTTTCTGCATCCTAAAGGATTTTGGAGACTAAACATATCTGAGGAAAGTGATATCCTTAATTCAGTTTTAACAATTTTAGAATACTAGCTTCTGCCTGCGGCGTTGCCCGCGTGGTCTGTTGATAAAAAGTAGCCTATGTCCTATACCGGAGTGTATCCTATGCCGATGCCAAATTTCATCCAGATCCGTTCAGCCGTTTTGGCGTGATTGAGTAACAAACATCCAAACATCGTAACTTTCGCATTTATAATATTAGTAAGAAGATAAAGTTGTCTCTTCCAAAATTGTAGTGACAAAGTCACGTACTGTTTGCAGAGTGCCCCGTGGCTTGGTAACTTCTAATATTCATGAAAAAAACTTCACCACTTGGCAAATGTCGAATGTCGTTAAAATGTGCATTCGCAAAATAGCTATTTGAATGTGTCTGGAGCGAACCATGCATACTAGTTGACTTCTACTAGAATTATTCTTGTGCCAGACAGTGTATTTTAAACTAGATCAATGAACAAAGTCAATCATAATACATTTCACTCTTTATTTATCTAAATATATGACTATAAAAAAGTACAAAAAGGCCAAAATTTGTTCCGAAACAATAATATTTTACAGTACTACTGCACCGCACCAATGGTATTGTGAAAACGGCTTAACGGCTGTGAGCCTTCTCCAATAAATGGCATGTTTATTGGGGAAGCGTTTAGGACATAAAGCATCGATGCACTACCACAACTCAGGCAGGCAGGGCAGTGGCCAACAGCTAGTTTCCAATAAATATCATCGCACTTGATTCGGCCGTGCATCACGAGGCTGCTCACAGCCACGCTGGATGGAGCCGTCGATACAGCATTAACGGAGATGGATGGTATCGGCCCACGCCATCGCCTCTTTAATCTCACCTACAAAAGAGATATACGAGTGAGCCGTGCTTCCGATAACCGTACATTGTTCTCCTCCTTCATTTTACATTACCTATGAGTCTTTGTCGACGTAATCCGATTTGTAAACGTTCGTTTGTTTGAGCACAGAAAGATTTTTGGAATGTTTAATACATCCCGTTTTAGGCATTTTAGGATAATCGCATTTCACGGAAATATGTTTAATCTATTTTCGTAGGTACGATAAAATGGTTTTGTAATACCATTTCTTTGTAGAATTGTTACTAATCAAATAATGGCTGAGATTTGAATAAATTTCGTTAAAAGGATTTTACTAAATTGTTTTTGGAAGACAAAGATTTATAAAAGGAATATCATTTCCTAACAATTATTAAAGATAACATTTTATCAACTAAGAAGCGTGTTGAACTAATGTGTTGAGTGCCCTTACAAAGATATAATTTCGGTTGAAAGATCATCAATCTGATTGAAATTGAAATCTATAGTAAATACAAAACATTAAATTAAGACAATTAACAAATGCTTAAACACTGTCCTCGAACTTCAAATCCTATGGGTTGAATGGAAGAAGTATTGTAAAACTATAGTGCAAAAAGTTCATTACAAAAAGCTCAGAGCCTAAGGAAGTTACTGGAAGTATTTAAAACCATAATCCGTGATCTGCAACCATGCACTGAACTATGTGTTATTATAGAGCACTCAAGATCTGTAATGGAGTGTAACAAAGAGAGAGGTCTTTATCTATGAAAAGCAGATCAGCAGACGAAGGTAACAATGACAAAGATTAATTACATCCCAATAATGACGGAACAATCTTATCTGACGCCATTGATAGCGGAGATCATGAGAGGCGTGCGCCACTACGCAAACCCAAGACGCTTCGTCATCCAAAATCGCTATTGAAATGAGTAGGAGCAGTTTATTTGCTGTCAGGATCGCGAAATATGACAACAATAGTTTCTACATCTTCAGCCAAACGAAGGATTATTTATTACACACTATTATGATTTAGGACGTAGGGAGTTTGCCAACATTTTTGTAGCATGACTCCTGATGCCTAATGAATTATGGCATTAAGAAAGTTTTGGAAATGCTAAATAACTCATTTTGGTCTCATTTCAATCAAAGTCTTATGATTTCTGGTAACTTTTGTTCCACATTTCGTAACGTCAACACGAGAAATTTCGTTATCAAAGATAATGTAAATTTTCTAGGCTGATTTTATCTAATGAAGACGTTGTTCGTGGAAGTGGGGCGGTAGTAAACCGCGATCATCGAAACTTTTCAAATAAAACCGATGAGTCCCCTTGTTTACGCACTTTGTTGCTTCATCCGACCTTTTCTTTGTACAAATCCAACTTTGTCCTGTTTCCCTTAGTAATTTGTGGTTTCAACTATTTTATTGGGGTTCACAAAAAGTAGTTAGGTTTTATTTATTTTTTCTTTCGTCATTCATCACTGAAACTCGTTTATTTTGATGTTAATTTTATGAGCAAACAGAAGTTAAAGTGTAAACTTTGTGCAAACTTTAGAAGATTTAAATGAATAGAGGTTTAGCTGTATAAGGAAAGCAATCCACTAGTAATGTGAATATACTTACTTGCACATGGTATTTTCTCTTTAATCTTTAGATTTGTTAAGATACTGCGAAACTGCATCAATAATAATCTCATTAAATTGACGTAGTTAACTAGTGCTTAAAGCACGTCGAACATAAATTCGATGCACCGGGGGCTTGTTAATAACTATATGCCTCAAGGAATTAAAGCATTTATCGCTCAGATAAACCCTTTGAAGCTTCATCTGGCAATATGAGCTTGCTTGAATATTCATAGTATGGGCAAGTCATTAAGCTACTCCTACGATTTTAATGAAAGCAAATTCACTACACAAGCAATTTGTAGGGAGTTTGTGTTTATAGGAGCTGATTTAATAATTGTTTTCGTAAGCCAATGGGGTTGTAATGGATTTTGTGTGTTGATTGTTTCACGTTTTTGGATATGATGTAATGTGAATTGAATATTTAGTATGAGTGTAATAAGAAATTTAACTGGTCTGTACTAATACAATGTTATTTTAACCCCGTAAAATGTTGACCTTTTCAACAATATCTCAGCAAGAATACGTCGATTACAGCTGTAAAATCAACCCATTAAGTTTTGTTACAGCGGCTAATGCTTGTCGTAAAGTATGAAGTGTCATATTATGTTGGGATGTGCGCTCGCTGCGGATGACATACTTTATGATCATTTGATACTTTCACGTTCGCCACATTACTCGTTCACTATTTCCTGATAATATTTGATAAGTTTTTATGGAGGTGCTTCTATGAAATAGCTGGTCGTAGTATCAGAAAGAAAGAAAATATGTTCATTCTGTGGACAACTTCTGCCAACGTAGACTGGAGTCCACAGCGCTGATGATAAGTTGCAATAATTATCACGTGAGTCAATTTAAATCTATATTATTTATACTATATATATTTTATAGTTCTTGATCAGGTTGCTTATATTTTTTTGAGACACTTTGATCGAATTGCTATGGATACCAGATTTTGGTAGATAAAGTACCCTAAGTGCTAGTCTGAAAGTTAGATAAACTATTATTCCAAGTTTTGTCAAACTACCATCACTAATGCATTAGTTCATCATAATATTTACCTCTGATTAAATAAATATAAGTACTCGATTCGTATGAATAAACTCAGATTGTCATCATATGGATAACTTAATTATATTTTTTTACTATTCACTGAACATTTTACCTATTGATTTTTTAATCACAAGCAAACATAACAGAGAACAATAGGCTTATTGAAAGCCCTTGAAGATTTCAATCAATTATTATAAATGTGATTACCGACCGTAGGTATTATAATAATTCAGCTGGGGTTGCGCAATGAGTCTCTGCGGCCTCGGCCCATAGCAGGAGTAGGTACGGGGGTTTTTTAGTCAGTAAGAATCTGACACTCCCTCTTCTCCCGCCCAACCCTGGGCGGGAGAAGTCATTCGATGAATTTCCCCTGTCAAAAAAAGTATATAATAAACGGTCCAAAGCGACTCACAAATAAATAAATGTCCTATTCTTTATAATTTAAAATAAATATAATTTTCCAAGAAAGTTGGAAAATATTGGCTTTTATGGACACTGAATTACCCAAATCAAAGTTCTAGTCTCGTACAGTAAGTATAGTTTTAAATTACATTATAATGTAAATTTCTAGGTATACTTAGTTATCACTTGCCTTAAACTAATTTAATAAGAATTAAGGGAAGTGCCGCATTGTATCAGCTGCCTACAAGGCGTAAGTAACTTCGGTAATTTACGGGAAACCGTAAGTTCTGGTCAGCTAGGGGAAGATCTATGTTAATCGAAAGCAATGGCCCGCAATCCCACAAACCTATAGAGCCAAGAGACTTTAGATACAATTGAAAATAGACTTTAAATGTATAATTATGGAAGCTTTTGTTACTGTTCCTTTTTATTACAATTGATAGTGTACACAAATGTACTGTAACGTGTAATATACTTGTTCAAATATGGGTTGTAATGAAAAATGTATACAATTGCGACTGCAAGGTTGGCACCACTCTTTGTGTTTTATCCACAAATTGTTGTGGGTCTGGGTGTGATGTGTATTTTAAATTGTATGTTTGTAAACACACCTACGATTCAGGAGAAAATTCTAGTTTGGGGCTACGTTAAAAAATGTGTTGTTGTAAAACTGAATATAATTATTATTTAATTTATTATCACTACTTATATAATAAAGTAATAATTAAATTTGCTATTAACAGTATCAAACCACAGAGTTACTTTCATTTGTAAAAATGCATTGTTTGTTCTGAAATTTGAAATACTTTTATAAAACAAAAATAATAAATGCAGCTGTACAACGTACATCATTAGATGGTACTCACATTTGTTTATCCTTCTCTCCAAACTTTTCATAAATTACATTCGTGCATTTTGTCAAAAGTACTGGCACGCATGAGCGTCATGTCTGCCATTACTTAATTACAAACACGTTTCAAGCGAAATAGTTAGTCACAAAGCAGAGACTTTAAG